AGAGAGAGGTAGAGATAGGAAAGTCTCTTGGTTTAGACTTTTAGAGAGTGGAAGGATTCGTGAAAATGGCATTTGAGAAGTATGAAAAAAGAAAAGAGAAGAGAAAAAGAAAAGGGAAGAATATCTAGAAAAGATAAAGGGATGGGATGAGGAGGGGGGAGAAGAGGAAGGACTAGACGAGATTGAGTGAACTCAGGACTTGGGAGTTGATAGATAGTCAAGAAGAGGGGGAGGAAGAGGAAGATGAAGTACTTAGCTAGATTGTGAGGGGTTTGAGAGAAGGAAGGAGGTAGGAGAATGGGTGGAGCATTGAATTTGATAGCAGGATTGGGTATTTTGGTGGCAGCTTGGGTGCTACGTTTTCCAATGTTTGGTCAATTGAATGAGTCTGATATGTTTTAGAATCTGGAGCTCTTTGGAGCTGAGTCCATGTAATTTGGTTATTTTTAGCGCCATTTTTGTTCTGTAGATGGTTTGTCAACTAGACAACCATATTCTTGAGATGTACAACCTTTTTTTTTCAGTTTTAATAAATTTTCCCTTTGATCTTTCAAAAAAAAATCAGTGTGGTGAGCCAATTTATGCAAAACCCCCGAGTACCTCACTAGGATGCAATTCTTAAAATTGTACGGTACTTAAAAGGAGCTCTAGGTCGTGGGTTGTTTTACAAGCTAGGAGGAAATCTTGAGATAGTTGGGTATACAGATGCAGATTGGGCAGGCTCGGTGTTTGACAAGAGATTCACTATAGGTTATTGCACGTTTCTTGGAGGAAAATTGGTGACGGGTTACTTTGATTAAGAGCACATTATCCAAATTACCTACCTATTTCCTCTCCCTTTTCCCTATCCCAAATAAAGTTGCAAGAAAGCTTGAAAAACTTAAGGAATTTTCTCTAAAGGGGTTGGGATGAGGAGCAAAAAATTCATCTTGTTAATTGGGATCAAGTTTGTCTCCCTAAGGATGAAGGTGGTTTAGGTATAAGGAAGTTGAAACCTTTAATTCTGCCCTTCTTTGTACGTGGATCTGGAGGTTTGCGGCTGAAAATGATGCTTGGTGGAGATCCCCCATAGCTGGTAAATATGGGGTGGAGTGGGGCAACTGGAGATCTAGGGACCCTCCCCCCAGTTGAGGAAACTCTCTGTGGAAAGGGATAATGAAGAACTTCATTGTTCTTGCTGATGGGATCTCAATTAAGGTCGACAATGGTAGTAGAACTAAGTTTTGGAAGGATCCTTGGTGCTTGGATGGTTCTCTTGTTGAGTCTTTTCCTCTCCTTTTTCAGTGTGCATCTAACCAAGAGGCTACTGTAGCCGGGTGTTGCAGCTTGACTCGAGATTCAGCTATTTGGTCCCCTATCTTTAGAAAGAATCTTTTTGACTAGGAGCTTGAAGAGATAATGAATATGTTGACTATTCTTCAGAATCAAAAGGTCGATATCTGCTCAGAAGACAAGTGGTACTGGAAGTGGAATCCAGATGGTGTTTCCTCTGTCAATTCATTGGCTTCCAAACTTTGTAGAAAGGGTGCTACTGATTTCCCATGTTCTCAAGTGTGGAATCCTATTAGCTCATCTAAATACAACTTTCTGCTCTGGACTATGGCTCTAAATAAATGTCTGTCTAGAGCTAATCTTGTGAGAAGGGACATCCAAATATTAGACCTTTCGTGTAGCCTGTGTGGGAACAATTGTGAATCTACTGACCATCTATGCATTCACTGCCCATTCTCTTCTCTGTTGTGGAACTACTTTTTCAGCTCCATGAATATATGATGGACTATTCCAAGATCGGTAAAAGAGCTTCTATGTTGCTGGAATATCAAAGGTCTTAACAAGAAAAGGAAATTAGTGTGGAAGACTATTCCTAGTGCTGTCTTATGGTCCATTTGGGCTGAGAGGAACAGCAGGATTTTTTGTAATAAGGCCCTAAGTTCATAAGATTTAATTCAGAAAGCTGTGGGCAAGTTAATCTCTTGGGTGTCAATTTCTGAAGAGTTTAGAAATTGTAATTTGTCTGTTGTTTTTCATTCTAGTTCTTGGTGGAGTATGTAATTGCTGTGTTGATCAGTCTGTTTCTCTGGGTCTGATCATAGCTTGTATGTGTTATTTTTGAAAAAATATTACTTTACCTTTTTCCAAAAAAAAAAAAAAATTGATGACGTGGAAGAGTAAGAAGCAAACTGTTGTGGCGAGAAGTAGTGTTGAAGCTGAATACAAGGCCATGGCACACACCACATGTGAATTAGTATGGTAAACACCCATTTACAACCCACTAGTTCCTTCCCTTCAGGCAAGTCAACAATATCCCATGTATGATTCTTATGCAAAGCATCCAGTTCAGCCATCATAGCATCCCTCCATTCAGGTTGAGATAAGGCTTCCGGTACGGACCTGGGTATCACATGGGAAGAAACAGATGCAAGATAAGAGTAGTAGGAAGGAGAGAGAAGGTTGTAAGACAGGTGTTTGGAGAAACAATGGGTTGTACACTTCCGCTTGCCCTTGCGGAGAGCAATAGGAAGATCAAGGTCTGGGAAAGTTGTAGATGGGTCAGAAGAAGGCTGACCTGTTACCTCATGAATGATGGGAGGAGCAAGAGGCTCTTCTGAAGGAGTGGAAACAACCTGCCCATGTCTGAATCTCTACCTTTGGTACCACCTTTAGAGAACAAGAGGAGGAGGAGGAATTATAGGAGAATGAGGTGGTGGAGGAGGAGGAATAGGAATATCGGAGGTAGGTCCAGTGGTAGAAGTGGACACCTCATGATAGGACTCAAGAGGAATGGGAAGAGATACAGCTGGAGACATAGCAAAGGGCTCTTCAGATTTCTCCCCCTCAGGAGGAATGCTAAAGAAAAGAGTCAACTCAGCAAAGGTGACATCCCGAGATACAAAACGGGTGCCACGAACTGGATCAAAGCAGCAATATCCCTTCTGTGTGGAAGCATATCCCACAAAACGGTTGATCAAAAAAGTAGTAGTAAGAACAAGTCTCAGTAACACTGGCTACATTCGATTTCCGTGAATAGGTCACAGTAACACTGTCCCGTATCTCCTTAGCCGAAAACATCCAGAGATAGTGCTGACTTATATGAGGTTGCATAGAATTGACCAACCATCCTATGACAGTATATTTCTCTTGCATCCATTTTTCAAATTCAGGGTCTGTCTCTTCGGGTTTCACTTTACTACCTGTGAGATACCCGAGTTTTCCTCTACTATAGACATAAATTCTTATAGACTATGCCCAAGCAAGATAATTTGTCCCATCTAGCTTGATTGTGGTTACGCCAGTCAAAACGGAATCTACCGAGCCAAGGCCGAAAACCGACACTTGCTTGAACTCACTTCCGTATGGCTCCATTAATCAAACAAAAATCAAAGAACTAGAAATTTTGTCTATATAAACTTACTTGAAGTCAAACCAGAACCTAGATGCTTGAAAACTAGGGTTTTACTACGTCCAGCTGTTGGGGAGGAAGAGAGAAGATGTAGCCACTCCTACCAGAGCTTCCCAATCTCTTCCAAACCTAAACCGCCCTCCTTTAGGAGTCAAAAGACACCTCCCAAGCACAGAGCACCACACCCAAATCTTCACCTTTACCTGTACCTTCGAAAATCTCTAATCGGCTAAGGTTTTGGGTAGCAACAGAATAGCACCACTTCTTGGCAATATCCAGCCAGATTTAAACTCTCCAAACCCTCTACCAACTAGGCCTAATTGGCTAGGGTTTTGGGCAGCAATAGAACAACACCACTTCTTGGCAATATCCAGCCAGATTTAAACTCTCCAAACCCTCTACCAACTAGGCCAAAGATCCTCTGTACTATAGAGAACCTATCTCTCCATACACTCTCTTAACCTAAGGGTGTATGGGAAAAGAAGAAAAGRAAAAAGGAAGAAATAGACCTGCTCTGATACCAAGATGCAAATCAGTCCTCAAATATTAGGTGTAAATTTGAAGATTAGAAGAAAAAGGAAGAAGAGAAGTAAGAGCARCAAYACAAGAGAAGAAGATGGCGAAAAGAGAAGGAAGATGAAGAAGAAATCGAATCATCTCTCCTTTCTCCTCTAACCCTTTTTTTATTAAGAATTAAAATTAGAGTAATGACAAGTATGCTCTTAAGTGGGCGGCCAGCTAGGCAATAACATAAAGAGATTAAATAAAAAAGAAATAACAGGCCCATTAAGAGAGGCTCATTACCCAACAATAAAAGAAAAGATATTACAAGAGAAGATACTAGGACCCATTCGGCCCAGTCTCTTTACAAGAAGTAGGTACTTGGTGCTATAGACACACCATAAGAAAAGTAACAAGTTTAGAAAGGGAGTTGAGAGCTACATTCAGCTGGGTTAGCAGAACAGCTAATGGAATAGCAGATGCTTTGGAAAGACAAGGGGCTAGTATGGAGTATTTGTTTTGGGGTCCACAAGTGGGGTACAGGATAATGATGTGTATTAAGTAAAAGTTTGGCATGGGGGAGGGGTTAGTGCCCCCATTGGAGTGGTGAGGTGCCTTGGCCCGTTTCCCTTTGTATGTTTATCCCTATTATTCTCTCATAATTCAATGAAATTTTTGAGTTAGCATCACAAAATTGAAAAAAAAAAAAACATAATCACAAAATCAAATCGATAATTTAAGTGTGTTGTATTTTCTAGTAGATTGTGCTGCAAAGGCACTATTGTAATTTGATTTGTTATTAGTTGTTGCCTATTATAAATAAAGAACTAAGCACCGCCAGCCTAGACTTTTGACTCTCCAAAGTTTCTCTCCTTTTCTTCATCTCCCTTCTCTTTTCATCTTACTTTCTCTTGAATAATAAAGTCGTTTCCCCATCATTATCTATATCCAGCAATAAGCAAGTTCCAACCACAGAACTACGTCAACAATAATTTTGTACTTTCTTGAGAAAGAGTAGCTGTATTTTATACTTCAAATCAAATCAGTGTAAACAGATTTTGAACATTTTGCAAAGTCATATGCAGAAGAAGTTGCCGACCTGAGATGGAACATCAGAACGGTCTTTGATGGCATTACGTCGGACATCTAAAGATCGATTATAGTAGGATCTAGCAGCTTGGATGTTTCCATCATAGTATTTGAGATCACCAATTTTATTAAGGGAGACAGAAAGAGCATGTGTCACCTGCGAAAAACTTTTTTGTTAATAATTAGCAAGAATGAAAGTTCAACCACTTGAGCAAATGACTGATAATATATATGATTTCAATTTGAGAACAAGGACATGAAATTACCTCCAAGTCATCCATTGACAGTTTTGAAAGAAAATCAACACTCTCTTCATAGAAAGAAATTGCGCACCCAGAATCTCCCATTGATCGACTGCAGCGGAGAAACATTTTGCTTTAAGATAAGTAAAAACCATGAATCTCGTGAATCATGATCACTCCAAAAACATCAGACATATTTGAGGAAAAACTAATAAAGATACTCTCCTTCATAGCAGTATATTTTCTTTCTTATATTTCAGCTGCAGAAGCCACATTTCTTTCTCGTTGTAATGGAAGCCAGGTAGTGTAACCTTGTTGTATATGAAATTCCCTATTTGTTAACCATCTTGGTTACTAATTTTTACGAATGAGATGTAAGACTATCCTACTTGCTTTGGAAAGCGAAGGATATAAAATTGTCCAAAGTGGTGCATCAAGATCCAAGGGAATGATTTAAATTAGAGATACAAGGTTCCTGGAACAGCACAAGTCCTGAGAACTGTCTAGTATACATGACCACAGAATCAATCAGATAACAATCAAAAGATTATTATGATAATAAAACACATAATGCAGCTCCTGCTTGTTAAGTAAAGCCAATGATGAGCAAATATGTGATAATGACACTTATTCATGTAATGTCAAATCCTTATTATCTTTTATCAGACTCTCCCGAGTTCCAATTAACACACTAAAATGTCCAAGGAGAATGGTAATGTAAGCTTGAGTGGAGATTCCTATTGATGGCCAACTATTTCTGGATTTTTTTTTATAGTAAAAGAAAGTAAAAAATCTTCCTTTCCAGACATCAAATATAGAGAAACACATTACACCAAAGTACATTGGACTCACCCAATAGCTTTAGTCTCTCCAAACCATTCATAATCCTACTGCATACAGTAGCTGTAAAAGAATTAAACCTCCCTGCTCGTCCAACTCATCATTAAGATTATTTTCTGAGGCAAAGTTGACATCCTCGTCCAAGGAAAGAGAATCTGCAAATCTCTTGTTTCTAATTCCACAAAAAATTGGTCAATTCCTCTCCACCCAGGAAAAAAAAAGTTCCAAACTCTTACCAATTTGTACTTCCTTCTCACAACCATTCTATTTAGATCCATCTTTTCCTTCACCTGAACATTCATTTCTGTTGGAGCAATGAAACCAGCCTCTTGACTCTTCCTTCTTTCCTAAAAAACAAAAAACACAATGAATCAGCCACCTCCCCAGCTGTAGCAGTTCATGGATTTTCAGTGCATGGTGGGCATCTCAACTCAAGATCTTTAGTAGATGTTGAATCTCCCTCTGCCTTCCCAAATGAGATCAGATTCTTGATAATGGGTAGAAAATTTCAGGCTGATTAGTTTAATGGCAATTTCTACAGGGTTTTGTGAAATTATTGAATGAGAACAATCTCATCCATCATTCTCAAGATTTTTAACAATATTTGTACCAATTACAAAGTAGAAGGATGCAGGAAGGATTTCTCAATGAAAATGAGATGATTGACTCAGGGATTAGAACGAGAAAACAGAGTGTCCTTTGCAAGGTAGATATAAATACAGCCTATGATCACGCCCACTAGAATTTCCTAATTATGTGCTGAATAAAATGAATATTGGTTTATTACAGACCAATAGGGGAGGGTGACCCTTTGAGTTAGTAACCTTAGCCTCCTTCAAGGGTTGAAGCTAGCAAAGCATCTGGACTTCCAACAACTGGTGCCAGAATGAAGAAAAGAAACAATTTGAGGACTTAGACCCATAGACAAGCCATGAGGGAGGTGAGATGTTTAATTGGGACCATCACCCCAATTGTCATGTGATGCTTGGCATACTGTACTCACCTTTAATTATGGAATACAAGTTACTGTTTCCAATCACATACAAAAAACAAATTTTCGATTAAAGTGGCACATTGCATGAAGGTGTTTCTAATTGCAAGCTCTCTATTCTTGTCAACAAAACTCCTGCAATCTTCAAGGGCTCTAAAGGAATTAGATATGGAACCCTCCATCTATACTTCTTTTCATTCTGTGATTGAGGCTTTTGCTAAATTAACCAAAAGAGCAGCAGAAGGAAGCTTTCTTGAAGGCTTTGGTGTGAAGAGGACTCCTTTGATGTGCTAAACTAACCAAAAGGTTAACCGTTTAGTTTGGATTAACATTCTTGTTATTCCTCTCCATGCATGGTGCCTACAGTCATACCAAGTGTTGAATGGGCCGATTTGTGTTTACTTTATTTTCTTTTAAATTAAGAAGTTGTTGGGCCTTGGGCCCATTAGTTTTTATTTTTAAAAGAGTTGTAACTATTTAGTTTGAGTTGCCGCCCTACTAAGGGCATCTTTGTAATATTTCATATTTAAGTTAAATATAAATAGAATGAGGGGCTGGCGGCTAGGGTTATGATACACAACCCTAGTTGACCTTCTTCTCCTTTTCTTCCTCTTTCTCTTACTATTGCTGAAATCTACAACTTTCCCCTCTTCCTTTCACAAGAAGCTTGACCGAATCAGCAGATAGTGGTTTCTACTTGGTATCAAAGCAGGTTGAAGGTTCTGGAAGTGATTCTCTCAAGCAGCCCTAGATTGGCCGATTGCATGGAGATTTAAGAGAATGATCGAAGCTCTCAGGTAAGCCCAGTTTTTGGATTTTCTTGATGGATCTGTATGCCCTGTAGCTGGTCTAGGGTTTCTCATCAGAATCAGGAAAAACTGGAGAAAGGGGAAGAGTCCTGTTTTTGTTGGACTCTTCAATTTTGAC